CATATTAAAGAGCCAAAGTAGAAATTGATCCCCTGGGTTAGTAAGAATCCAGTTTATTGGAAGAATTTTTTAAGGGAATAGAGAGAGAATACATGGTTATCTTTTTAGATAATTACACAGTAATAATTCTACATAAATAATGTGAAGAAAGCCATCATTTAGTTATGGCCACTCCTACATCCGTCTTTTGTCCCTAGCAAGGGAATAAAGACCTTTCCTTCTAGGCTTTTTAGCTTCCTCTTCTCTTGTGAATCTAGTCTTGGTGGGAGCAATGGGAACATCTTGGCAAAAAGACCCTGCTCTGCTCAGCTAGCTTCTCTGTTAACCTTTAAGTAGCAAATAACTCCCCAGGCAACACGAGGAAATCCCGCTATTTCTGATGGGTATTTGGGAACCTGAGCAGAAGACCCTAACTATCAGGTACAATGTCATCATTAAAGCAAGAAGTGAGCAGTACGTTTTATATTTTAGGGGCTTTGGCTTGTCTGCTATGTGTGTTGTCAAAAGCCAGGAGCAATCACAGTTGTTGCAGGATGTTTATCACTGATTTATCGTATGAACACAGGCTGCATCAGGTATGCTCATGATAGCAACATCTATATTGCCAAAATAAAGAAATTCTGCTTTTGCATGAGAGCTTTTGTCAGTAAATTTTGTGACTTGATTCTGGCCTAACATTGCTGCTTGGTCAGACACCAAGACAAGTTAATCTTGCAAGGGGTAATGCGAATTCCTAAACAAGTCCTTCTCACTTTGACCCATGAATTAGCATTGTGTGGTGTAAGTATAGGTTCCTCCATTGTGTCCCTGTTTACACAGTCCCATCACTGTACTTGAGGTCTGTGCCATAAAGGGAGGCTGTACCTTGCTCATACAAAAGGCTGAATGAATTGTCTACAAGGAAGTCTTCCCTCCACAGACAAGTAGATGACATCAGTGTAAGTTTTGTGCATTCTTCCTCTCCCTCATTAAAAGCCTGAACTACTAATGAAAAGAGAAATCAACCCAAGTGGCCCCTGTGTTTGTTCATTCATTGTCTTCTCTGCTGAGGCTGCCAATAAGAACAGTTAGTAGCAATTTTGGCTAAGCGTGCACCTCTTTACTAAGAGCTGGACTGAGGCGACTTCGTGCAATTGATCATCTGAAATAAGCTGGCATTCACTACAAGCAGTGGAGGGCTGTACTCTAGCTACACAATTAGAAATGAAAGCTTTGATATCTTATCAATCCCTTACCCATCTGTCATCAACATGTGGCTCTTTCCTTTTCAAATGGACAAACTACATCATCATACATCAACTAGGGGAATACTCAGTAACAAACTGTCTGAAATTGTTGCAATTCTGACTCATCTGCTCTAAGCACCATGGCTTTCAATGCCAAGAACACTTCTTTAATGAAGTGATCACATTGTATTTCAGAAACAATGATGAAGGGCAGGGTTTTGGAGTACAGGGGCAAGTCAATCTTGCAGGTCAAAGTTTCTCACCTAATGAATCTGTGCAAAATAATCTGCATCCCTGAAAACTACCATACAGGGAACTGCAACACACAAGAAATCAGACGAGCGCACAGCAGGAAAATAAGAACTCTGGCAACTTCGTAACTGTAAAGGAGGACTAAATGTGAGTGTGTCTTCTTCTGATACCCCACCTTCACCCTATTCTCCATCATTCATATAGTTTTCTTTCTCAGGACTGGGAGGACAGGGGCCAGGCCCATGTACAGCACATTTGTTTGCACAGTGTTCAGTACAACAGAACCATCCTCCTTTGGGTTCCCTGGTAAATAAAAGTAACATGAAAAAGATGTGCGATTGCAGAAGACAGGAGGCTTTTTAGGGGAAAGGTGATTTTGTTGTTGTTGTTGAAAAAGCTGGGAAGAAAAAAGCACGTTAAAGACCAGTCTAAACATTTGGAGGCAAGGTGGAAGATGTTGATGGTGGGATACGAAATGGCTGAGGGAGAATAGACTGAAGAACAGGAGTGAGAGATAATATGGGCAAAAGAGAATGATTCTGGTTGTGCTGGCATGGATGCAAAGTAATGACTTACAAGAACTCCTTCATGCTTTTACCTATGCCCCTTGGGCTCCATTTAGCTGTGCTTTTCAGCAGTGGTGGATTAAAATTTACTGGGGCCCTGGGCGAACAGAAAATTGGAGGCCCCCCACCAGGTGAGGGCAGGTTCCCCCTGGGCCCACCTGGGGCCAGGGCTGGCTTCAGGGGCTGGTGGGGGGCACAAACTCCACCCCTGGCTGCCCACCCACTCTGCTAGCCCACGCAGAGCAGGACAGGGCTGTCCCATCCGGTCCCGGTGGTGCTAGTGCTGGCAGCCACCTGCAGAGAGCTGAGCGCAGAAGTGGGAGCAGCGCTGCTCGCAGGGCCCCCAATGGCCCCAGGAAGCTGCCACTGCCTGTGGTGAGCCCTGCACCCATCCCTGGCTCTGGCCCGAGAGGGGAGGAGGTGTGTGCTGTCCACTCCGTGGGCCCGGGCGTTAATCCACCCCTGATTTTCAGCCAAAATCTGATGACACACCAGCGCATGTCATGATAATTTCCTCAACTTTCTTAAAAGCAAGCAAGTGGGAGAAGCAACAGAAGCCAAGCACGGTGGTATTGCAGAGAAGGCAGTGGAACTTCATCTGCCAAATTAGCCTCACAACCATTCAACCTTCAGCTTCTTGACTCTACTTAGCCCTAGTCTCATCTCTCACCAAAAGCAAGAGCCAGTGGCATCCCTAGCAGATGGAAACCCGGCAACTGCCCAAGGCCCCACACTTTAACTGCCCCCCCGCCCCCCCCCATACTGCAGCAAGCCATTTTGCTTGCAACAAATATCAGATATGCTTCTCTCTCATTGTAATTATGCCTCTAAGGGCCCCCCAAATACGATTTTGCTTGCGACAAACATCTGACATGCTTCTTGCTCATTGCAATTATGCTTCTAAGGCCCCCCCCATGATTCTCCACACGTTAGGGCCCCCAATACGGCAGCAAGCGATTTTGCT